TTATTTTTTAGTCAATTTAAAGTTTTATCCTAAAAAACTAATATATTCAATTTTTATGTAATTTTAATTTTATTTTATTTATAAAAAAAATTCAAAAATTTGGGCTAAGGACATTTGGATTTGAGGCTTGATCAAGACTTCTTTGGACTTATTTGGTTAGCCCCAAATAAACTTAAAGTAAAGAATTTTTTTTTTTAACTTTTAAACTCGACTCTAAAATTATTTAAATTTACTTAGGTTGATCTATTGGACTTTGTCAAAATTAACAACTCTAATTTAAATATGAATGATAAATTTTTAGTTTTCAAGTTTGCCTTATGTATCTATTTGATCATTAAATTTTAATTTTTATCAAGAAAATTTTAAAGTTTTACAACTATACATAATGAATAATAAAAATTTCAATCCATTAAACAATTATTAATTTGGTCTCTCAATTTTAATTTTTTTAATTTTATTCTTTTTATTTTTTAAATTATCATATTAGTCTTTTAAGTATTAAAACACAAATTATGCAGTATTTAAAGCATATTGGTACTTATCATATCTATGCAATTAAATGAGAATAGATTATCCATTAAATTAGTTTAATTTTTATTAATGTAGCCCTAATGTTGTGCTTTGGTATTCTTTTTTAAAAAAAAAATTACGTTGTTTTTTGTACATAAATAATTATACTTTTTGTACCCAAAAAAATAAACTTCTTTTCATTAATCTTCATGTTTGTTATCAATATTCTCTTATTTATGTCAGTACATTTTAAAAGTATTATATCATCTTTAAATAATAAGAATTAAATTGATAAAAATTAAATCAATTAGGTGACCAAATCAATAATTAAGATAAACTTCAGTACTAAAAATTTCATTATCCTTATACTTGATTAGTCTTTATGATTTGGATAGAAAATAATTTCAAAAGAACTAATTGTATATGTATAATAACACTTTTTAAAAATTTAATTAATCAATATTAAACTTTATATATATACAACACACACATACACAAGATTAATAATTGACACAGGCTTATGATATAAGCGTGTATAAATTAACAATTAACATTAACAATTAATAAATGGAGTGAAAAAGTCTGGGGAGGGTGGCCGTGCCTGTCTCTGATCGGCCAATATACTAAATAATAGAAATAGTCATGCATCTTACCCAAACTTATTTATAATTTCCATGTTTAAGTCTTTCTCTACCCTTTTGGGGGGGGGGGGGGGGGGGGGGGAGTCTTTCTCTACCCGTGACGTACAAGATGGAGGGTTATGACTATGAGATGAGAAAGGATATAAGAAATAAAAACAGCATATATTTCTAAACAAACGTTATTAAAATAAGAGGGGGAGAGAGAGGAATATGGTGTAACAATGCAAGCTCACACATGGATAAAGTAAAAGGACGTGTGTGCGCATATGTACGCTTTCTTCGTTTAAAATATAAAATATTTTTTAAAAAGTTAGATATTAAAATATTTTTAAGTCTTTTAAGATGTAATAATTATCTCTATCTTTTTTTAAAATACTCATATTAAATAAATCACTTTAAATTATTTTAAGGTGAAATACTCCTATTAAATAGTGATAAATATAAAAAGATGAAATTAGTTTTTAGACAAGTAACTTCATTATTCAGGGTGAAATTCGATTAAAAATATCTTATATTTTTTAACAGATGATATGTATATAAATAGTTTTATATATATATATATATATATGCCTTGAGAAGAAAGATGCTTGTTTTGCATGCCAATAAATTTTTTTTTGGTAAAATAAATTTTGATAATTCTTTGTGGGAAAGGTCTCATGTGTAATTGTGTTCAAAGTTAAAAAATCGAATACTTTTAATAAGCGAGAACAATTTGTGCTTTATATGTTAAAAAAAAGGAAGTGAACGATAGTAGATTCATAGACAATAAAAAAGTCTAATTATTTTCAACAAAGAGTCTGTTCATTCACAAGAATCCACATGGGTTTATGTAATGTCATCCTATATCAACTACATCACTTAAAACAATTAAAGATATTAAGAAAGGTATCCAATTAAATTAGAATTAACATTGACTATTTGAAATTTCAAAAAGTTTATTTTAAAATAATTTTAAGTAAATGAGATTCTAAAATGACTTAAGCTTGGAATCGAGCAGTTAAAGCCCTTTAAAGTGCTTAAAATTAGAGTACAAATAGTTACAGAAGTAAAGAAATTAGTTTGAACATTAAAACTAGTAAAAATAGGGTCAAAGGAGTCATTTTTGCAAAAACATCACCATCCACTATGGCCAAGACAACATCCACTATGACTTATGGTGTAGAAGCTATATTTGCTGTGGCCAAAAGCTCTTCCTGCTGAGACCAACACACTCGACAACTTTTGTCACAGCACATAAATAATACTAGCACAACTGAAAAATTAGCTTCCAGATCCAACTTTTAAAATGCCTAACTTTTTACCCAGACTTTTAATTAAGGTGATCAAAGTGTCCACAAGTAAAAAATTAAATAGACTACTAGTTAATGGCTCTGGACTCTTTCAAACTGTTATCACATGGAAATTATGGACACTTGGGGTTATTACCATGCCAATCAATTAACCAAGTGCTATAAACCAAAACTTAACCCTTAGCCATAACAACCGCAATTAATATGAACCACAAATACATTGAGCATGCTTAACCACTCAACATGACAAAATCAATTAAACATCAATCATTAAAAATACACTTGCATGATAAGCCTCATTTACAAAAGCATCATGAAGGCCGATAACAAAAGCTGCCCTAGTCTATGATGGGCTCATACAAATGAAATATAGTCTAACAATATAAATACCCTAATGTTGGAAAATATGAAACTCAATTACATAGAAGCAAAAATGTACGCTACGCATCTTAATTAATTGCAAGAACAATCAATATACAATGAATGGTTAACAAAATGCATTAACCATTAATCATCATTAATTAATATTAATCACAATTAAGGCCTTAATCCTTTGTTAAGTGTGATTAACCAAAACCAATCCCATTTTTCACTTCCGTTAGCTTATTTGACCCACATTAAGTTTAATGACCACTATTGACTTACTTCATTTGCTTAATATATATAGGTTGAATAGTGTTAGGGTTAACTCTAAACCCATGATTAAATGACATTAACCACTGCCATTAACAAAAACCAATTATTAAAACTTAAATAACCTTTATTAGACTCCATTGAAATCAATAGAGTAGCTAAAGACTAGCTTTAGATTCAGACATTATCTCCCATGTCCAACAACTAGAAGAAAAATGCATAGAGGTAGGAGAAGGGAAAAGAGAGCTTACCTATTGATTTGGAAGCTCAAACAACTCTTAATGGCAGCTAAAACAAAAGCCCTACCAAAGCACTCCCCGTCTCCTTTTGGTCTTTCAAAAATCTTTTTTCTATTTTAATTCGAGACATAGAACTTGAATTTAAAAATTCGATACATCTATTATGACAGATGACGTAGTTCGGCTGCATTAACTCAAACCCATTTATTTGGATCCAAAATATCTCAATGGCTCCTCTAATACCCTTCTAAGTTCCAAATAAAATCTAGCAGATCCAAAGGCCGTCCAATCACTCTAATTGATCCAACTAGTAGCTATGTTAAAAAAATTTAATCTCTACTTAATTTAATTAAATTTTTTTAAAAAAATTTTGCAATGTTACAGTTTACACTTTACTCCATGAGAAAATTTATAAATTAACCAAATAAAATTAACGATAGAAAGTTTGTAAATAACAAGAAAAATTTAAATACGTACACAAGAAGTTTGTTTATTCGCAAAAGTTCATGTGAATGTACACTTATACTTGAAGAAAAAATTTACTAGTTAACAAAAAAAATTGAGAACAGAAAATCCATAAATAACAAAAAAAAGTCCAATCATTTATAATAAAAAATCTTCTCATTCACAATTGTTCATGTAGTTTTACATTTGTTCACAATAGTTTTACATTTGTGCCTGTAGATCAGCAAATATCTGTCTTCACAAGACTACATTCGCCACTCCCCCATGATAAAAATTACATGTGGTGCCATGATTTCATTGAATGTTGTGCAAATGAGGTGTTCGAAATCATATTAAACTAAAATTTAATAAATATTAATAAATATTATTACTATTACATAGAAAAACATAAAAAATTTAAAAAAATTTAATTAATATTAATTTTTTATAAAATTATTTTATATATTTGATTTATTATTATTATTATTATTTTTGTTGTTATTTACAAATCTTTAAATACAATTTATAAGTCATTTATAAATTTTTGAAAGACTAGTTTGAGTTGTTAAATTTTTAAAAATAATTGATAAATTGTGGTGAATAATTTATAAATAATAATATTGAAATTATTAAATATTAAAATATATAATATTTTAATAATATTTATTAAATTTTATTTTAATAAGACTTTTAAGGTACCCCTGCTTCTGGAAATAAAATTAAGGGGCAACAAGATTTTTGTTTCTCAAAACAATAATTCAAGAAAAAAATTATCTCATTTATTAATATAAAATGCCTAACACTCTTAACAAAAAGTTTAAGGATAAAAATAAATCTTAAACCTATAATTTTATTGGGTAGTCTATAAATGAGGGGTGACTGAATACCTGATAATTTTTCTTTTTAAAATCATGTGAATATTAAAATATTTTTTAGGTGGAACTTTGTTGAATATTTGTATTTGGGTTATTCGCGACGGTACTTTATTCGTCAACATAATTTTAATTTTTCACAGATTTTAATTAATAAAATAAAACATTTAAGATTTTTAAATGGAATATTTTTAACCGCTTTAAGAAATGGACTTGAATATAATTTTTTTTATCAACAATTAAAATATAAATTTTGAAAATATATAAACAAGTCTCCGTAATTTTAAACAACTTTGAAAGGATGTTATTGTCTTTTCGCTTTATTAAAATAAAATATTTTCAATTCTCAAGTTTTAAAACCTCGTCATTTGGGTTGGTCTTCGTACTTTGTTCCTCTAAGCTCATCGAACATCTGCTAGGGAGGAACCGTTTCGTATTCAGACTCAGCAAATCGGCTTCCGCCGTCTGTGGCGGCGAAGATCGCAAGGTACGACGATCTCTTTCACCCTTCATCGATTTCCATGTTCAATCAACAAATAGCTTGTTTCTTAATCTCTCTCGTCATATATCCATTTTGGTTTAATTTCATCCAACAATTTCTCATGTTTCTCTTTTTATTTGTTTGTATATGACGTTCATCAAAGCTTGTTTTAATTCGACATCTTCATTAAGAATAAATACATAAATTCTCTTCCTCTTTGCTAAATTAATTAAACGTCGTCGTCCTCATTTTCCATCAACTCACTTTCCACTATGAATCTGACAAACCAACGGCAGGCCTGTGATTCAGTTATCTCCCATATCAAAAAACTAAAATTTCCTTCATTTAATTAAAGTCAATTTCTATATAACCAGTTATTTCCGTAGTTAATTGTCAGAAGTTTTTTTAAGTGAAAAGGGTACATATTTTTTGTTTTCCTGGAAAAAGGGCAAAAAAAATTTTATGCGTTAAAGTTTTCCACTCATTTTTTATGATATGTCAAACATACTTTTAAATTTATTTTTATTTCTATTTTCAGTTTCATTTTTAATCCCACTTCCTTCAAAATAACCAAACAGGGTTTTAGAGTGGAGGGGGAAGATTCAAGAGGCATGTGAAATGTAATAAGATATATGAAGCAAATCTGTCGCATCGAGGCAAGATCTGGTAAGAACTTTTTGTCTTTTTTCAACTTTTTCATCATTTTCTATAGTTTTATGAACATATGATATATGCGTCCGCAATCGGTGCTCATCACAAACGATGAGCACCGTTTGCTTACCAGGTCAGGAAAAATCTTGGCTTTTTATTGCAACTTTATTTAATCCTGCCGTTCATTTAAATTAATTTTTAAATATTTTTAACATTATATTTATTAAAATTAAAAATATAAAAAATTTTAATATTAAATCTGGACTATTTAAAATACATTTAAATGGTTAATTTATAAAATTTATAAATTTTTAATATTAAATTAGGTTATCTGTATCATACCTGAACTGTACAGAGTCTATCTGTATAATTAAATTATAAAAGTATAATTATTTTAATATTAAATTAGATTGCTAGATTAAATTTGTACTGACTAGATTGGTAATAAATAGATATATTAAAATTTTAATTTTTTATATTAGTAAATGAAATATTAAAAATATTTAAAAATTAATTTAAATGAACGGTAAGGATTAAACAAGACTAAAATAAAAGGTCAAAATTTCTCCTGACGTGATGAGCACTTGATGCTCATCACAAATGATGAGTACCGAATGCAGATGCTATGATATATGTTTTGAAGATATTTTAGAGAAAGATCAAGGTTTGCTTTGATTGGACAGAACATAAAAGTTTCCTATTTAGTTGGAAAATATGAGAGCGAGGTGCCCCATTAGAATTGGTTAGTTTTTCATAACATAATAAATTAATATTTAAATTTTAATTGAGAAAAGTATCTACATTCAATATTTGACCGTGACTCGAGCAAGATTAGTTCTAATAAAATAACCTATGAGCAATTGAAAAAAAAAAAAAACACCTCTTCCTAATAAAATAACCTATGAGCAATTGAAAAAAAAAAAAAAAAAAAAACACCTCTCCCTTCCCCCATTGAACCAAACACTGCTGAAGACTTTATGCCACAAGAGCTTTTGATTCAAGCGCGTAGGTGGGTGGGTGGGTGTATCTTTGGTCCCTTCTGCTAAAAAACTAAAACTTCACGCTTACATACCTAGAAGCCTCCTTTTGAACCCATTTTTCTCATCGTTTTTGCACACTACTCCTTTCAACCAATATATAGAGAATTAGTAGCCAATTTATGGTAATAAAAAAATATTAGTTGAAATCTTAATTTCTTAAAATTTTTTACATTTTTTAATTATACCCTCAATTAATATCTTATGTAATAGTATTAATAATAGTAATTAAAATTCAAATGGATGATTTTTTTCAAAGAGTAATAAATGAAGTAGGTGTATAGTTCAAAGAGTAATCAAAAAACAATTCCTCTCTTGAGCAAGATTTTCCCATGATATCCCTATGCAACCAGCTCAGGCCCTCAGATTTAAAAAACTAGTATTTATAACATCATACGCTTGACCCTGGATATTGGATCCTGTTCGATGTGTTCTAACTGGTGATTATTTCATTATATTTGAATAATTTTTTTGACTTTTATATTAGCTCAATCATGCATAGTATATATTTGTAATTATTTTGGTATATTCATAGATTTGAATTTGCTTTATCAATTTAGATTTCTATTATGAGTTCATTTAAACTCAAAAGTTTGACAATTTTAGAAATGGCTAGTCAATCTGACCCGTTGAACTGTTGATTTTACTAATTTTAACTAGTTTAAAGTCAGTTCAATCGATTCAACCAATTGAACTAGTCAGTTAGATTCAAATCTCAAAAAAAAAAAAAAAAACATTAGACCCTTGTGTCAATAAATTGAAATATTCATGGTCCTATTTATTATAAGGTGTTAAGAAAATTATTTTTTAAACCTATTTATAAATCACGTCACCTTCTTTTACCCTTCATTAAATATTTTGAAGAGAATGTATGTTATTAAAATTTGTATATATAATAGGAGCTAAGTTGAAAATCTATTAAATTTTTAGAAAGTTAGTGATTTTTAAAGTTTTTTTAATTTTAGAGAAATATGTTGAAAATGACTTATAAATGAAATTAAAGAAGTATGTGATATTTTCATCTCGAACCTTTGACTTGTGCCCCAACTTGGAAGTTGCTTACATCCAAAAATCATGGTCTTCCATGTTCATTTTTTTAAAAGAAAAAATTAATCTTTTGGTACTTTAACTTTTAACTCACTTGTAACTTAGTCTTCCAACTATGATTTGTTGTGACTCAATCCCTCAACTATGATTTGTGGCAACTCAGTCCTTCAACTTTTGATTCACTTATAACTCAATCCTGATTTTTCAATTTTTTTAAAAAAATATTTTTGTCAAATAAAAGGGATAAAAGAAATGCTTATATCTTACTTTAAAATACTCTCCTCTTACTCTTTGATGTAAGATATAAGTTAACATGAAAAAAATGGAATCAACAAAAGTTGAGGGATTAAATCATAGATGAGTCAAAAGTTGAAAGACTGAGTTATAGGCAAGTCAGAAGTTGAGAGACTGAATTATTACGAGTCATAGTTAAGAGACTGTTACAAGTGAGTTAAAAGTTAAAAGACTAAAAGATTAATTTTTTTTAAATAATGCTCTGAAGCTACTTAATTGGAATGTTAGTGGAATTTTTGTGACACTTTCACACAGTTGAATTAATTAGTGTCTGTAAAACTAAAACTGATCAGCATTGGATCTAATTAATTGGTTTAAAGCTAAAGTTGATTATTAGATTTAAGCGACTTAATTAATATTAATTTTTTTATAAAGGTCATTTTCTATAATTTTCTATGTCTTTTTTTATAATTTTGTAGGTCAACTAATTGTCAAATTAAATGAATAGATATATAATGGTTGGGCAATATCGTTCCTTTAAAAAAAATTGTTTAAGCGAAGTGTTACCCCACCATTTATTACAAGACATCCAGTGCTGTTGGACAAAAAGTTTAGGAATGGTTTTTTATTTTCAACCCTTAATGTTTTATTATTAATGTATAATTGCAATTACATATTTTGCTATATATTTTAATTAACATGACCAATAAAAATGATCAATAAATTTATAAATTTCTATCAATAGTCATTGATTATTTTTTTTATCAGATTTTAATTTTATTGAAATTGAAGTTAATTATAATCAATCAATCAAGTATAAACTCTACAGTACGTAAGTGTGGTGAAGTCGAAGATGTCTGAAATAAACCCTTCAGTATTGCCTCAGGAGACTCAACAAATGTATCACCAAGGTATGAATTTTCTTGTTATTGTTGTTGCTGTTGTTGGCGGTGCCACCATGGTGGTGGCGGCCGCCGGCCATAACTTATGATTTATGCTTTTTTAGCACATATATATGTAGGCGAAAAAAATAAATTAGAGGATGCTAGTGATAAACAAGTTATTAGTGACAAATCAATGATCGAATCCTATGAGATCGTGTACGGCTTGGGTAATCAAGTTGCCAAAGAAGGGGATCAGGTAATATTCTGTGTGTTTTTTTTTTTTTTAGACATTTTTCCTTTATTCTTGCTTGCTCAGTTGCCAATTTGTTACTCTCTCCACGGGTAGATATAAATTAACATGAAATTCTGATAATACTATTTTTGCTCAATTTCAGTTTTATATAATGTGAATGTTATTGAATTATATAGGTCAGAATCAAGTTTCAACATCTAAGTGAGAGTGGTGGCGTTGAATTTGAAAAGGGCCCTCTGGTTCTGACTTTGGGGAAGAAACAATATGGTCGAGGTAAAAAAATTTTCATTATTAATTATTGTCGTTGATTGCAAAGAATTAATTTATTTGAATATAACATTTTTTTAACAGTTATATTGATTCATTTTTTAATACTACAATAACAATAAGTGTTATCCCAATAGGTGGGTTGGATACATAAATTGCATGCATGACACTATTATACTCTATCATCAATTAAGTCTTTGGGAATATTGTTAAACAAGAAGTCTTGTTTAACAATTTTCATGAGTTTTCTCTTTAATCTTTCTCTGCTCATCTTTATAAGGCTTAAACTATCTATTAACTTTTCTATTGGTGTCTCTAATGGTCTTTTTTATACATGTTCAAGATATCTCAAACAATTTTCTATTATTTTTTCCTCAATAAATGTCATGCCCACTTTTCTCGTACATGCTTATTTTAAATTTTATTTTTTTATGTATGCCTGCACATCTATCTTATCATGCATTATCATATTTTCTACTCCAAATATGCTTTTGTTGTCCTTTAAAACCTAACATTCACTATTATATATAACATGACTCATTTCACATTCAACTTTTAATATAACAGTAAAAATAACTAATGAAATTTATTCTACAAAAAATACATGTTACAAACACTTGCTACTCCCTTCGATCTCTATTATAGGATGCCTTTTAGAAGCATTTTTGTATCTTTACTATAAGTTATATTGTGGATATTGATTAAGTTTTTTTAACATTACTCCTATTTAAACTCATTAACAATGAGAGAGAATGTAATATAAATTTTAATCGTTTTCATTTAAACAGGGCTAAAATTGAAAGTTTATCCTATTTTTAGATAGAGTTAATAATTCAATTACCTTTAATTGACTCTGTTGATGTAATTAGAAGTAACTTATATTAGGGTCCAGATTATATGAAAGATTTAACTTCATTGATTGTAAAGCTGATCAATGTCATTTTCTCAAGTAGGATTTGATGATGGGATTCGCGGAATGAAAGTGGAGGGATTCAGAGAACTCAGAATCCAACCAGATCTTTGTCCAACGAGCTTTCATCTGAGAGTAAGTCTTTAATTTCAACCATGCATTTCATATTTTTTCGAGCATGGATTTTTTTCTTTTCACATTTTACTTTACTAACATTTTTTTTGTTGATGGCCAAATTGTTTGTTCATAGTAAAATTGATTGTTTATATAGCCTTAACATAAAATTTCCTTGCTTTTGAGTTTGATAGAATGTAGATTGTTCTAGCTGTAATTTATGACTTGAATTAAACCAGCATGTTTGATTTCGTGAGCCTTTCAAAGTGTGATATTAGGACTTGGTTTTTCTTTACTGCATTTTCCTTCCTCGATTGCAAATCTAAACTATTCATATTAAATTTTAGTGATACATATTAATCTATACTTTTAAAATCTATCAAATCTAATCTAACAGTTCAGATATGGAAAGTTCCATCCATTACAATGGAAGGAGGCCAACTCCGTTATATTGGGAACCTAATATGTGGATAAAATCTGAAGTGCAAATGATGATATATCTACATGCTATATACATATCTGATATCTAGTAGTCTTTTTTATAAATTATTTTGTATAAAAATTTCATTAATTAATTTATTGCAATTTTACCATCTCAATTTTTTTTGAGTAGAGTAAAATAGTACACATGAGAGAGAAATTATCTTTAAAGATGGCATATTTAATAAAGGTAAATTATTTTTCCATCTCAATCTTGGTACTTTTTGTAATTTTTTGGTCTCGCTTGTAATTTTTTGGTCTGTTTTTGTAATTTTATTGGTCATTTTCTGTCACTCTTTGATTAGTTAATTGTTAAAGTTAATTTTAATTAACGATAATGATTACATTACATTATTTTTAAAAGTTAAGGAAAGAATATTGTACAAAAAATATGTTTAAAGTTCTAAAGGCTTTTGAACCTATAGTTTAAAGGTTAAATTACCCTTAAACCCTTCTTTTTAAGACAACATTAACAATTTAACTACTTTTCATTGATTATGATGATGTAGTTAAAAGTGACTTGTGCAGAAGATCAGAGGAAATATATGGATTTCTTAGAGAGATAGGGTTAATTATTTAACAAAACCTCCTGTTCATGGGAACAGAGAACTTTTATGTCCTCATTTGGAGTATTGCAAGTGTGGGTGCATAATTAATGGCATGATCGGTGATTTTCTTTGAATATGAGGAGGCAAATATTTGCAGTGAAAATAAAGAACTATTTATGTTTGGAAAACGAAAAGCGTAAGACCGATAGTGTTTTTCATATAGTTTAAATTCAGTACGTAGTTTCTTATGACAACATATATCAATATTATATTTTGGCGGGAATGTAAATTTGCAGCTTCTGAAGAAAATCATTGGGATGCGCATGCGCTCGAAGAATAAAAAGATATTTCGTGTGGCGCTTTTGGCCATCTTGGAACGCAAGCCTCTCACTTGAACTCAGTAGAAGAAGCAAGAGCAGATAAATGCCAATTAAGAACCTTATGAGAAAATTAATGCCAAATCAAGAATTTTAGCATTGAAACATGAGAAAAAGGAATATTGAATTTGGAAACGTTAGTATTGAAGACATCCTAATTTGACATTAATATTTTTATGGGGTCCTTGCTTGTCATTCTCTTGAGATTTTATGTTGTACAAAATAGATGGATTTCAATTTTTGAGGATTTGTTCAAATTGAGGATTTGTTCCTATATAGTGAAGGCGCAATGTAGTAAAGAGACTTCTTAACCATATGTACATTAATCTTGTATGGTTTGTTGTTATCTAGAGTAAAAACTCTGGATGGATATTGCTTCTATAGCAAAATCTGAAATAAATTGCAGAAAACTTTTGCTCAATTTTTTTTTTTTTGCTTGTTTGTGTTGAGACAATGAAGAGGTAGAAGTGGGTGTTGTTCTTCAGCAGATTGATCTCTAGTAAATCCTGTATTTACTTTGACGAGATAAAAGTGGGCGATGTTCTTGCAAGTTCTTGTGAAAGAAGATATTGAGGAACCAAAGAAACATATTAGGTTAAAAAAACAAACTCACAGCCACTACAAAGATAATGCCTCTAAATTTTCAAAGTGAACACTTATCGCTAATTCTAGATCATTAGTATACGGGTTGTTCTTGTCAAAATGTTTGAAGTGCTGTTGAGACACAAGCCACCACTTTGTCATGCTACTTGAGTGCACAAGCCCAATCCTTTCTTGAAATTCAGTATGATGAGCAGAGTTATTGTCAATCATATATTCAGTTCTTGTATAGTCTGAGAGTCGAGGCAAATGTGTTCTGAACAGGGATCTAGAAAAATTAATTAAAAGGAGTATAATTTATTCTTGAAATAAATGTTAATATTTTTAAAAATAATTTATAATATCTATTATTAAATTATATCAAGGGTATAATTTAATAGAAATAAATACTAAAAAAATGTATAAAACATAAAATTATAATAAGATAAAAACTCTCTTTATATACAAATAACTTTTTCTATCTATTAGAATCAAGTTTTTTTTTTTTTTTACGTTCAATAAATAAAATCTATATACCTCTTTTGTATTGTAGATAATTATTTTTTTGATGAAAATTTTTATAAACGATTTTTAATTATTCTTAATTTTCCATTCTAAAATTATATAGTTATTTTAGGTTAAAGTACATAGATAAAATTTTAGGTTATTAATTTTGTTAACGGGATAAATGAAATTATATAATGGAACAGGTATTTTTTTTTAATGACGGGGGCAATTGAAATTTTTAAAAGGGACAACTAAAATTGTTTGGGTTACCTTTTATATATATATATATATATATATTTTCCTTCTATGATTGGGTGCAGACTCACTAGACACATATATTTGCAGTTGGAAATCTTTTTTTCCCAACTACATGTCGCATTTTCAAATATATATGTGTATAGCGAGTCTATACCCAAGCATCATCTATCAGTCACCTCAGCAATTATTAATATCGTTACATCCTGAAATTATCAGATGATATGATCATAGGGATCAATCGTTACAACTAAGGAAACTATGATGATTCAATAAAAAAAATTCCGCCAACTTTGATCAAAGTACAACCATATATTTTAAATTTTAAATTTAATTTAAAGATATAAAATATTACTATTTTTCAGGATTAAAATAAATATGAATTTATATGGATAGGCAGAACCCGAGCTTATTTTTTTAAAATTTAGAAGAGGCAATCTCTGAAACTTTTTACACAGAAAATCTTAATTTTCATTGTCCAAGCCCAAAAAAAAGGCTTAAAGGATAACCCAATGGGCCGGCCTATTTTCAAGTTCAATTCAAGACCAAAAAAGCTTGGGTTTAAAAAAATATATTTTGATTTGGATTAATTTCGTGCAACCCAACTCAATCCGTATAATAATTTATCTAGCTCTACTCTTATAACTCAATTCATATTTCTAATCCTAATGGAGACGTGTCTTGCAGTACATGTGGACAACAAATAATGGATAAATATAACCATATAGATATTGTTTCAGAATATGGACTGAAATAGACAAGAGAGCCCAAGACCAACGACGAACATTATGACACAGACAAGTACGACCCACATGGAAGCCTATAATCTAACAGCAAGAGGCGAATGAATGGGCTAAATTATCACTGTTTTAGAATCATAATGGAATTTGGAACCTCGCCAAAACGATACTTGGACCTTGTACATGACTATTGAGTTCAAGGCACGATTATGAATGAATGTTGGGTAGCATTTAGATTGATGGATTTAAATTTACATTTTATTTTTAAAATTTATATTTTAAATATCACATATTCAAAATTCTTTGTTTAGATAGGTAAAAAAAAATTAAATGGAGAAAAGAAATGAATTAAAATTCAAAACAAAAATAAAGGATTTTCAAATGAATATGTATAAGAATAACTTGAAATCACAAAAGAAACATAATAAAAGATGGATTTTCATAAAATTTTGTTTATTCAAATAAAGGATTTGACCCAAATTCAAATTTTTATTTATCCAAAAATGCCATTAAGTTACTTGCATTTTAATATTAATTTTCAAAATTTACTAGTAGTAGTTTCTGGATAATACCCATAGGTTAACAATGCTTACTCGCCATTGGGGAACGTAGCAAAAGTAAGCAGGTATCAAACCAAACATGTTAGATTTTTATAAAATTTTAAATATAAATAAATATAAAATTCATAATATAAGATATTTTGAGGAACAAAATTATCAATGAAACTTATTTTAAAATTACTCCTGGACAATATTATTTCACTGCTCAAATATTTTTCATTCTCTCCCTTATTAAATCTTTGATATTTTTAAAATTTTAAATTTGGTTAAAAAAATATCACAATTATGAACTATTATTAAAGTAAATTGAGGTTTTGGATCACTTAATTTATGTTGTCCAAGGTATAAATGCACGTAGGATTATAATTTAATGAAATAGAATATGAAATTGTGAAAATTCTTGATCAAGATAAATTAATTATAGGGAAAAGTAATTATTTAGTTCTTGTAGTTTTGACTTAATTGTAACTCAATCTCTAAATTTTGACTCATTGTATGTAAGACTAGCTCACTTAAACACCGCAATTATCAACTTAACAAATAAGTAAGGAACTAAGCCCACAAGGATTACCAAGTTTTCATAACACAATTGGGAGAAACAACTTTTCCAAAATTTGAGTGGAAGAAACAATTCACAAAACATTTACAATGAGATCCCAAGATTTATAGCATATAAACCTCCCAAACACTTTCATTAAGTTTAAATCAGATCTTTAAAACAATGTGAAAGTTTGGGATTCGATTAGGACCTAAAACATTAGGTTTAAAACCCAAAATAGTGAAATTGTGCAGAAAAACATGTCATGTGCAGTGGCTAAGTGTCAGTACACCGCGGCTCACTCGCCTCTATGCCATGTGCTACTGCAACGCATTGCACGCAATTTGATAGGAAACAACTGCTGTCATTTGACAGCAGTGAGAGCAAACTTCCAACACGTCTCAAATCTCTGTCTAATGTTTAATTGAGATGATTTCAGTGTCTACACGAATCTTTTTTCATGTTCTAACGGCATAAGTTTTACACTCAAAATCATTTTCTAGAAAGAATTCGAGACCAAAAATTATTTTATCACTTTTTCACATAAAACTCACAACAATAGTGTCCCAATTCAACTACAAGTGCCAAAAGCCTATACTGACTATCTGACCACACTTAATAGACTCTCAAGGACTCATGCAATACACTACACTCAACCAAATACACATATAATGTAAAATCACGACTCAACTCCAAACTCATAAAACACAAGGGGGAGGAAAACTTTGCACAAAACAACCATATTCCAAATCATTCAAAATACACATGTTCCTACTTGCATAAGTATTTTGGCCCTACCCAAGGTTTACAACCAAGGCTCACTAACTCAGGGTATAAAATACACAAGTTTGACACAAAATTAATGTAAGTAGAACAAAATATTCATGTGAACCCTAGTTGGAAATTGAATCAACATTTAGACATATAAAATAACAAAATGAGGCATACAGAAAGGATTACTCTACAATCCTATGCCTTGGCACATTTTTGCTGGTCTTAATTTGATGAGTTAGGCCTTGAAAATATTAAGAATTGAGGGGTGAATACAACCACTCAATAACTAAGCTTCACCTAATCTATATAGTTGCATATCAATTGAAAACATATGCAAATAGGCAAAAACATACAAATAAAACACATATGACGAGTATAGCCATAGCTCACAACACTAACAACCATGTGGCCGGGCCTTAAGCACATGTAACACGTTAAATGATAATGCACATATTGGAGTTGTAATAATACCAACCATGCGCCCCTTTCTCATGCCAGACTACAATAATAACGACCATGTGGCCAGATCTTAATGCATGATCAAATGTCAACCTTATACTTTCCCGTTACCTTTAACATGAAACTGGTAGCTATTCGGTGGCTACGTCCTTCATGGACCAATCCAACCTTCTACTCATGAGGAGCTACCAAGCTTGGGTTAATGATAAAACACATTTATTATACAATTTTATTTTTTAATTAGAACCTTTTTATTAATGATTTATCACCTCAAAATGCACACATTATATTAGATTTGGAATTTGCCTAAGTTTTTAGGTTTAATACACTAGGAGTATTTCAGTCCAAAAAATAAAATTTTGAGAAAATGTATAAGAAAAATTGATGAATTTTATATCCAGTTAATGAGTAGTCAAATTAGATTTTTAAAATTTATTTTAGTTTGGGAGTAATTAAATAAAAAGTTAATACTTTCTTAAATGTCTTAGTTTGACATAGTTTTCAGTTTGCCTTTATATGAAAATTTTTATATAATTTTATTCAGCCTAGAACTTAGTTAATTTAATAAATTCTATTTCTAATTATAAATCTAATTTTGGTTATTAATTAAATTTTATTATATCACATGTCATTGAATTGAATCATATAATTTATGTGATATAGGTGGCATATGACTTGTGCATCAATTAAGCAATTGAAGTCAACACTCATCGAGGTCAATAGGTCAATGGCTGAGAATTTGCTCATGATTTATGCTATTTTTGAGAGATTAAATTAGTTTAAATAATGTGGATGACACATAAAAAAGTACACACACATTGGAATCATCTACAAACCAATAGGAGGTTGCCATCTTGCAAGTGTGAAAAGGTTCTCATTTCCATTTTAATTTCTTTTCTTATTTTTTAACTAAGCCTTTAGCTGATGGGAAACAAGGAATTGCATGCAATTCAGTCCTCATTCAGATCCAATATCCATCCCATTTCATCTTGTTCATTTTCTCTCACTT